GTAATAAGTATGCATATGAGATTGGAATTGGAATTAGAGATATCATTTTCTTTTTTCCTTTCCTAGCTTTCTTCAATGGCTTTTGAACCTCTTCTATGCTTCGCTTTAACTTGATCTCTATCGCCTTTTCTGGGATCATACCTGATTTTTGGAGCCTTATTGGATTTCCACATTCCCTTATAAGTTTGTGGTCATTTTTTTCATCGCATCAGCTACACCACTAACATTCATAATCTCTTCCAATCTATTACAACAAGTTCTTCTAAGGGTTTCTCTCCATGGATCATAATATTCACCATATCCATTATTTTTGTCATTTGCTCTCTTGAATCATCTTGGAATTTTTTCGCTTGATCCATCATATCTTGTTGAATCTTTATGCGATGTTTTTGGAGTTTTTGATTCTACTAACCCTTGCTAAAATCTCATTCATGGTTGTTATCTTTCTCTAGGAAGACCAAATTAGCTCCAATTTGATTTCAGAAATTCTGTCATAGAATTCTCCACGAATTATTCTCATATTTTCATGATTAAATGCATGTAATATAGTTTGAAACTAACAAAATTGCACGTGCATGATATAATATTGAAACTATAAATGTAACTATACGAAGATGCAAATGTAAATGCAAATGTAAATGCAAATGTAAAAATGTGGATGTAAAACGGAAATGCAAAGATGAAAAGATGCAAAGATGCAAATGCATGTATGAAAAAGGTGTTATTCAAGAGTGATCATCTTAAAACAACCTTCATTGAACACAAAAGTTTCGGTACATCAAATAAAACTTTACATATAGGGATAGATTTCACTCCTAACTTCAATAAAACTTTACATATAGGGGATAACCTTCACTCCTAACTTCTCTAAAGCCAAGTTAGTTTCACTTCTTGCTTAAAAGTTGAATTCTAAATCTTCTTCAATTCCTTGTAAAGTCAGCTAAGTCTATCAGCTTATGAGCCATATTGCTTGTCTGGACAGCAACTTCTTCCATGACATTGTCTTTTTCCTTCATCTTCTATGTCAACTCTCAGAGTTGTAGGCAATGTTGCTCATTCTCCCTTGTGAGGGAATCTTTATGGTTACGGAGTTCTTTGACAAGAGTTTCATGTATGTTGCAGCTCTTTTTCAGTTTGGTGACTCCTGTTATCCGATCTTCTGGGATGTTTCCTATGCCAACATTTTGAAAGGCTTGAATGATCTTTTGGAAATCCTCACACATGGTGCTCATCTTTGTACTTAATTTCTTGTTTTCATCCTTCTAAAAACGTGTTTTAGCTTCATAAAAACTTCCTTCATTCTGAATGCTTCTATTGATACTCTTACCATAAAATGCTTTTGGTACCAATCTAACAGGATCTTTGTGGAATACTTTTGGTATCAATCTAATAGGATCTTTGTGTACATAGCTCTCCTCTGTCCTCAGAGTTCCCCCATGATGTCATTCCTTGGCTGCGTCATATTTTGCTTGATCATAAAACTTTTTGTCCATTAATGAAAACTTTTCAATTTGATGAACACTCTTTCGAATCAACACCTTCTGGTTATGCCATGATCATGCAATGTAAATGCAAAAGAAATCAATATAAACAAGTTAGAGTAAAATAAAATGTATCTACAAAATGGATAAGAATAAGAAAAGATAAAATGGTTAGTACCAATTAATAGAAAGAAAAGATTCTTATTTATCATGGTATATAAATCATAACCTCATGCTTTGTTTGGAAAAATAAACCTAATTGCATGTTAACTAGTTCACATGCATAGAAAAAATAAATAAAAAAACAAAAGTTAGAACTTATTTCTCCTTTGTGTACACCTACGGACAGAGTGTCAGTAATGTCTATGATCGGGTGAATTTCTAGGGTTTATTATATGCAAGGTTTCGGTTCTAAGAGTAAAGGTACTCGAATTGTCCTTGTTGGTGCCCCCTTACGCTGCCAAACCATCAATCTTAGTCCATTACAGACTTAAGCGGATTAAGTTCAATTCGAGGGGACACATTTTCCTATGCCTGACACGGAGAATAAATTCTCACAAAGACATAGAGCATATGAACCCCGAAAACTACTTGCTAGGTCTGACACGGAGAATAAATTATCACGAAGACGTTGCTTTCACTCTCACTTAAAAGGGAAAAGCTCAATTATAAAGCTTATGTTATGCAATGCAAGTGTTGTGTGTGAGGAGAAATTTTCACACAAAAATTAATATCTAAAAATAAAATTAAATATTAATATACAAGAGTATAAAATAAATTGAAAGAAATCAAAAGAATCATAAATTAAATAAAATATGAATTATCAATTTCTAATTATAAAGACAAGATATGACTTAGGTTTGACCAGGGTCCCCAGCGGAGTCGCCAAGCTGTCGTAACCGGTTTTTGCCCGGGTACGAATTTTTACTTGACGGGAAAATATGTGAATAAATAAATGGTTTTTATTGAAATGTTTTGGTAGTCGCCATTTGCCTTTTGGGTTAGGTAGGTCGAATACCTAAAAATCATCTTTTAAAAGAGTTTTTAAGAAAACATCAGTTAAAAGATAAACCGGTCTGCGTTTAACCAAAAATTTATTCTTTTTAATAATAAAAAGGGATTCGTGGTCGGTTACGTTTGGGGAAGGATTAGCACCCTCACAATACCCAAAATTGGTCCATGTCAATTATAAATTGTCTCTAATATAGAATTTAAGAATTCAAATATAAATTTAATTTATGATCCTCTTATTCTATATTCAATCGAATAATTCTAAAATAAAGATATATTAAAATATATTTTTATGAAACTAAAGTAAAAATATATACTTAGGATTTTATAAATAGGATATATTAGAAAAAGACATCTAGTTACTTTAAGACAACCCTTTTCTTCAATATAAAAAAATGAATAAATAAGAATAAAATAATTTGATTAAAACAAATATATATATATATTATAAATAATGTATTATTTATTAAAAATATCGGAATATGACCTCTGTGTAATTAAGACAGACCTTTCTTTGATATTAAAAAAATAAATATTTTAAAATACTAGAATAGGACATCTAGTTATTTTAAAACAACCCTTTCTTGATATTTAAAAAAGAAATAAATATTATTTAATCAAATATATATATATATATATATATATATATATTATATATATAAAATAATAATTAAAGTACAAATTTAAACATATTGAAATTAAAAATATAATAATAAAAAATTAAATTAAAGTGTAACTAATAGTGACTAAAACAAATAAAATTAAAACAACAAGAATAAAATGTAAAAATATCTAAATTAATAGACATAATTCGAATTATTATCAAAATATAATTACTAATAGTGTAATTAACCCTTAATTATTAGTCAGTGATTAAAATATTAATTATTAAAGTATAAGGGACTAAATAAGTTATTTACCCTAAAATATATAATTATGTAAGGGACTAAATTATAATAAACTAAAATTCGAATACCAAATTAAATAGTTCAGAATTTGATTTCAGTGACTAGAATGAAAAGTTACAAATCTTTAATGGCTGCGGATATGATTTACCCACGAACGAAATTACAAAAATGGTCCCTCCCTTAAATGACATCTTTCAAGGGAGGGTATAAATACCCTAATATACTCGGCCTTCAAGCCAATTTTTTTATTTCTTCTCCTCTCATTCTCTCTCTAAAACGAAAGAGATATCTCTCTCTCCCTTTAATCTAAGATTCCCTCACCGGAGGGAATTCGTTTTCCCTAAAAAAAACCTAGAATTTCGTAGATCTACGATTATACCTTCAATATTTCGAATCTTCCAGCGGAGCGTGGAGGCGCGTGGGAGCTCCGGTCACGTGTAGTCTTCGGTAGCTTCTACCTTTATTTTTTGATACTTGTTGATGTCGTTTTCTTTGCTTGCTAGGTTTTTACTCCGTTGTTGTTGGTGCTTGTTCCTCGGTGTTCCTCTGTTCTTCTTTTGCAGGTTGATGATGGCTTTTTATATTTCGAATCTTCCAGCGGAGCGTGGAGGCGCGTGGGAGCTCCGGTCACCGTGTAGTCTTCGGTAAGCTTCTCTCCCTTTATTTTTTGATACTTGTTTGATGTCGTTTTTCTTTGCTTGCTAGGTTTTTACTCCGTTGTTGTTGGTGCTTGTTCCTCGGTGTTCCTCTATGTTCTTCTTTTGCAGGTTTGATGATGGCTTTTTATAGCCTCGTCGGTGTCTTCTTCGGACCGATCCCAAGAGAGGCCTTCGGTGAGTCACCAAACTATAGTGGTGACTCACCATAGGGCAGGGATGTGGACTGCTGGCCTAGCGTTGGGGAGCTTCTAGAGGCTTCTGCAATGGTGGTGTCATGGCAGTAGGGCCCTAGGGTTTCCTCTGGAGGGCTCTGGACCGTTGGATCTTGTCAAATCCAACGGTTGATGATGTTGGGCGGCTGCTGGGATGATACAAACCCTAATTGGGTTTAAGGTTAGTCTTGGGTCGGGTCTTCACTTGGGTCAAGTCTTCACTTGGTTCGGTTCGGGTTTTCTGGACCGAGTTGGGCTTCTGTTGGGCCTCCGAGTTTGGTTGTAAAACGGGCCTTCGGGTTTATTGTATTTTGGGCCTGAAATGTAATAAAATTATTTATTAATAATAATAATAATAAAATAAATGGGCAAAAAACAGGTATTGAATCAACTTTCCTTATAGTGGAAAGTCGATGTGCAACAACAGCAGTTGTTCTCCCGACCATGAGTCGGTCAAGAGCTTCCTGAACAATACTCTCATAGCCTGCGTCGAGTGCGCTTGTTGCTTCATCAAGGAGCAAGATCTTAGGGTTCTTCAACATAGCTCTACCAATTGATATTCTATGTTTTTGACCACCAGAGAGTTGGACTCCTCGCTCTCCCACCTGATTTTGCACCGAGGCACACACAAAAAGATTGTGACACAAATTATATCCATTCGGAAGCAGGGTAATAATGCTATGAGCATTTGGTGCACAAGCAGCAGCTTCCACTTCATCCATTGTTGCATCGGGTTTTCTTCATAGTATATTCTCAAGGATCGTCTTTGCAAAGAGAACAGGTTCTTGATTGACCAATCCGATCTGATCGCGCAACCATTTCAGTTGCAGCGTCTTTACGTCGACATTATCCAACAAAACTTGTCCTGCTTAACCAAAAAAAACATACACATCAGCTCTGAAATCCAAGGGGTAAACATTTTCATTCTTCAAACATGAAAAAGGTTCACTTAATTACCCTGGTTAGGATCATAGAACCTCTCAATCAGAGAGACAACAGTACTCTTCCCGGAACCGCTACCCCCAACAACGGCAACAGTCTTTCCTGCTGGAAAGAAAATCGAGAAATTGCTAAGACGAACATCCAGTCTTGATGGGTAACTGAAAATCACATCCTTGAATTCTATGTTGCCATTAACCTCGGGCAGTACTTTCCCATCCAAATGATCTTGGATTATGGAGGGCTTCTGATTGATAATCTCCATCAGTTTGTAATCAGCTGCTTTTCCTTTACTAAATGCCCCGAGATTAGAAAATGACTGGCCTAAACTCCTGCAATAGTAGACTTATTCAACAATATAATCCCCGGTAAACCTTAATAATCACAGAAGATTAGTTAACATGAGCTTTAGATCTTACATGCCACCAACTACGTAAAGGCCTTGCCCCCATCGGTCTGTCCATTCCGGATAAAAACACCACCATACCAAAAGACAAGCACCCAAGACATACAAGCTTTGCCGTAGGTGCACCCAAGTCCCAAACCCTTTGCCATTCCAGCCTTGTATCCGAGTAGGAATTAAGGGCCTTGCTCTCACCGACACACGAGTAAACCGTACGAACTTGTGCAATGGCCTATCCAGATGATTGAAAGGTTATATTTGATATAACCCCATATATATATATATATATATATATATATATATATCGTAATACAAATTATAATTATAACATCAACTCAATTGATATTTATTGAACTTAAATATTTAAAATTTTTGTTTCATTTAATAATTTCTTTTTGATTTTAAATTTTTTCCTTAATCATATAAATTTATGAAATATTGTTTGATCATTGAAAACTAATCTGATTTCATTCAGTAATTAAGAATTTCAGTGTTGTTTCATATCCAAATAAAACTGCCAAATACCACTTGATTTTAAACAATTTAAAATAACATTATATAATTCACTCTCATAAATACAATTAATACTAAAATTAGACAAAACTAAAGAAAATAACTCTAATTACTATTACAAACCCTTTAAAAAATATGATAAAACATATATAATGTATATGTCACTAATAAGTCAAAGTTAGGATGTCTTACATGCCACTAATAAGTCAAAGTTAGGATGTCTTAATCATATAAATTTATAAAATACTGTTTGATCATTGAAAACTAATCTGATTTCAGTAAGTAATTAGGAAGTTCATTGTTGTTTCATATCCAAATACAACTGTCTAATACCGTTTGATTTTAAACCATTTAAAATATAACATTTATATTATTCACTCATAAACACGATTAATACTAAAATTTGATAAAACTAAATAAAATAACCCTAATTAGTATTACAAACACATTTAAAAAATCTGATAAAGCAACCCAACAGATATAATGTACATGCCACTAATAAGTCAAAGTTAGGATATCTTACTAATATTGTCGGTAGGTTTGATTTTGCATAAGATGTTGGCAAGCTCCACACTTCACGACCTCTAAATTATTCGAACATACGCATGAAAATCATTATGCGCTAAGTAAAACTTAGTGAGGTAAAAAATAACTAAAACAAAAAGCCATAAAATATAAGAAATGAACTATAAATTAAATAAAAACATTAAAACTTCAAATCGGACTTTCCAAGCTGTATTTTTTCTCATCAGAAACCTGAAAATCATGCCCTCATAATTTCATCAAAATTACAATAATCAACATCAGCAATAATATACTTTACATATACTTTCCATACAGACACGTTTCAGAATTTTCATATTTTTCATTTTTATATTATTTTTACTTTCAATTACTTTCTAACATTGCTTATTTCATTTTCATAGTCCAATGTATATTTATGAGAATGCAAGATACACGAGTTAGACGAGTGAGTGCAATAATCACTTCAGTGTTATCATCATAATCAGAATATGTAAGCACACATAGTGTTATCATATTAGAATCGTAATGTGCAGACAAAGTGCAATCAGATCAGAATATATATACTAGTGCACCCACAAGTACACCATAGTATATCAGAATCGGAATATATAAGCACACACAATATTATCATATCATAATCATAATGTGCACACAAAGAGCAATTAGATCAATAAATTATATACCAGTGCACCCACCGATACACCACAGTATATCAGAATCGTAACATATATGCAAACATAATGCTATCATATCAGAATCATAATATGCACACAAAGTGCAATCACATCAGAAAATATATACTAGTGTACCTTTAGGTAACACCCCAGTATATCATAATCACTTCATCTCATGTACCTACGACTTTCAATGCAACATACAGTAGCCTTTACTTTGATTCATAATCGTTTAATAAATATCATGCCAAACTAGAATTATTTTCAAATCATAACCGCAGAATATAACATGGGTAGTTCATACCTGAAATCATTCATGAAACTTGATAAAATTATATAGAAATATTTTATACTGAAAATTTATAAACCATACTGAAAAATAAAATGAGGTTGACTTATAGCTAGTCGTCCTCAATCAGAATAATTAAATAATTAAACTATGCTCTCATTAATACTTTATATAAAAATCAAAACATAAACCTCACCAAACTTTAAGCTTAATTTCTTGCTTCCAATTCATTCTTCACGAATTTATCACAATTTCATATTTTGATAGTTTGCGCTACCTTCAAAGAATTATTATTATGTACTAATCTACATATTTAAAAATTATTTTGTTTATACCACTGAAAGCTAGACTCGAATATAAATCTAACCATATAAGAAACTTTTTCTAGTTAAACTCATACAATTTATAGAGAATTTTCAAAGTTGATTGACAAAAGCAATCTTGGACAAAATTTGTTGTCCTATTTTCTAACCTATCACTGATTAAAAATTCTTATTTTTTTGCATACTTATGAAATACGTTTATGCTTATTTTTATTCTAAATGAAATTAGATGATATATGAATCCAATGGTATAAGATTCATCCCCCAATCATTTTTTAGAATTCTGATGATTTTCTAAACGTATTGTTCAGAAATAATTTCTAGGCAGATTTTCACCAACTAGTGTCCTTAACTTCACTAATATATTAGCTTACTAAATGAAAATATAAGCTTAAATTTACTTATATAACACTAGTATTACTTGTTAACATAACTCCAATACTGGCTCATTGCAAGCCAATGTTTATTCGAAACATAAATACGAATTAAATGCACTCATCTGATCTCTTTAGCTTGCAACCTTCCTTAAAATTTCCCATTTCATCCTTAAGCTTCTCTTTAGATTTAATAATATTTGATCTTGATTTCAAGCACTCAATCTAAATGAACTTCATTACCAAACTATACAAATTCAAACCAAATATTAGAATCTTACTAACATAGGCATACTTTGGAAAATAAATTCCTAACAAATTTCCCAATACTCATTCGATATAATTTACATGTCACAACAAAAATATTTACCTTAAACTTCTAATTGGCCACTCAACTTCCTTTATCCTAACTCACATAACATTTTTCACTTAAGCTCCCAATCTTTCCATATTGTGATTTAAACTTCAACTTTACAAGTTTTCCAAAATAATTCAATTTCACAGCCTAACTTCAATTCCAACACTCAAACATTAATTTCCATCATATTACATAAACTATTTAACAATTACACAACAACCCACAACTTTTAAAAAAATTGCCAATTTGGTCCCCTAACTTTTCAAAAAATACATAATGGTCCCCAAATTTTTCTAAGGCTTTTAGAATACTTCTTACATCATTTCCATCCCCTAAATAATTTCTCCATAATTTTTATCATCCTCTATTGTCAAGGTCAAATGCTTTGTATTTTCAAAATTAGGGTTTTCATGATTTTACTCAATTTTTATTCGATTCAAGAATGAAATAAACTTCATTTCAACCTTATAAAATCTATACAATCAAAGCCCCAACTTAATTTCATCAAAACACATCTTTCTCATAAAGCTAGGGCTTGGCCAAAACTTTATTTGTTCATATAACCATGTACAAGTTATTTTAATAATTAATTATGCTTGGAAATGATTCTACAACCTCAAAAACATCAAAATCCTTCATCAATTCTATAAACCCGAATATGAACATAAACCCTAAAATTTGGGATATTTGAACACAAACCAAAGTAGCAAGAAATAATGGTACCAAATGATATCGTTTTTCTAATAGAACAATTTTCTATTTCACGACATGATCCAAAAACCAAAGGAAATTGCTCAGCACAAAATGTTGGCTGAAAATGGTTTGGTTTCAATGAAATTTTGGTTAATTTCTATAATTTAGCCTTAATTTAAGCTTACATGAATAAAAAAATTCATTTAATGAGAAATGTCCATTGTACCCTTAATGAAACTAGATATTTACCTTAATACCAAGCCACATAAACCTTATCATCTTCCAAAGCCAAAGATGGACAAAATATTTTTCCCTTTCCAACGTTGCCCATGCCATTTTCCAAAAATTTCAATCTTGTCATTTTCCATCCAACTATCCAAATTGAACATGGAAATAAATTCACAAATTCAATTCTCCATATTATTTTCCATCATTCTAAATTATGGAAATATTATTTTTAATACTAATTTATCATCCTTCAAATTTTCTAAAAATTCTATTCGATCGATTTACCAAAATTTTACCAGACTTAACACTTTCTATTTTTAACACAATTTCCATATCAATAATCTGATTTCAATAAAACCCCGCTTTCAAGAGTAAAATATCCATTTATGGAATAACTTTTTGGGAAATTTAATACTTAGATCCTTGAATTTTCCCAATTTTCTGTCATATAGTTTTCAAAAATTGCATTTTAGTCACTAAAATTCCACTGTTTATTAAAATCTGAAAAATTACATTGTTTTGAGCCAAATTTCTCTGATCTAAAATATGTAAATAATATTTCCAACCATTTTCAAACATCCTTCAAATTTTCATAAAATTCTGGTTCGATATGATTATCCGATTTCAATACCGAACTTTATCACTTTATAGCTTTTAACACAAATCTCGTACCGAAAGTCTGACACAAAAATCCTTGTTTTAGGCTAAACTATTCATTTCTGAGCTAAAATCTATAACTTTTTAAAATTACATTTTTGATCTCTAAATGTTTACAAAGTTTATTATTTAGCCCTTAAACTTTTAAAACTTATATTTTAGTCACTAGTTAAAATTTGGGATGTTACAATTCCTCCCCTTAAAGAAAATTCAACCTCGAATTTTCTATTCTATCTACATACCTGAAGTAAAGAAATAAGGAAATTG